TAGGGTGAGGTTCTGATGGTGAGTTCATATGAAGAAACTCATCGTCGTCGCCTACCACGTGTTTTCTGCTAGATTTCGAAACACTTGATAATATGCTAACTAATTGTCGAATTCGCGTTCACTCGCTGACCTTCAAAGGACATATGGTTGACAAGCACGGCATTCACCATTTATTTGAAAATCTGAGGACGATCTAAAAAAGGATCTAGTTGCAACGACCCCAAAATGATTGCGCACGTTTCTCGGTACGATAAGTTACTATCGTCGTTTTATGCCTTAATGTACGCGAAATAGCGCTTCTGGCCGCGAACTACCTGTTATTTATGCTTCCATATAACAGTTTCATCACTTCGCCGAAGGTCACCAGTATGCTATCCTTACTGATCAAAAATTTTAAGCTACACTCTTCACATCACAATTGGCAGATACTCCCAAAGTTAACTACGTAATCTGTGGTATGTCTCACAATTAGTGTTGGACATTCGTCACATTTCTGGAGTGAATCACCCTCTATTTAATCCACTGTTTTGGATATGCACTGCAGCTGCTTCTCCAACTACTCACATGAGAAGATTAGCAGGACTTTATACTTTGAACATGTGTGTCGACAATTCCCCGAAGACATAGTGAGTATCTCTAAACAGTAAAAAAGTTACGACTCAAGACCTCCGGTTCTTCTGTCTCTCAGTTGAACAGTACTATGATCTCTTCACTACCTCCTACACCTTGGCATATGTGCTACCGACAAAGTGACATCATGACATTTGCCTAGTGGTGCCGAATTGGACGCGTTGTTATACACAGATCCAGCATCTGGAAGTGCACAAGAATAACACCATCTCAGCAGGTCTTTTTGCACACCTGATGCACGTTTTAGTCGCATTCGTCTCGTCATCTTTTGTCCATTTTTTATTTATTTTTATTTTTGATTACAGCTTGATTCCACACTGTATTTTTGATACAAGCATGGAATTTTCAGCATGGATATCGGTAGTCCAAATTTTGCAGGCCGACCATATATATCAGGTTTGGGTTGGCAGGGGATTGAACCTCGGGTCATGTGCATGGTCGGAGAGAGTCCTAGCCACTGTGCCACCGACGCACAACCTACACTAGATGGCTACTCACAGCAACTCTTATGTGTGGCCCGTTTACCTGTTCACCAGAAGCAATCCGTATGCTGGATGTCCTAAGAGGGTCAATTTGCTAAGTTCTTATTTAGCGATGGGCTGCACATTCTGGATGTCCGTCTACGATGACGGCGGACAACAGTTGGAATCTTGAATCTCCCGGAAGCTATCGGAACTGTTGGGATGTGGTCGCATCTGAATCAAGGCATGCTTCTTATCTTTTAGAGGCCTGGTTAAGCATACTTGTCGACGGCTCCAAGCTTCTTTGATGGAGTTCAACAACACCAAATAGAGGAATGCTCTTCCTTTAGCTTTCCTCGTTACCCGCTCCGCCCTCGAAGTGGGTATCCAATAAATCTGGGCAGATTTAGCTTGTGGAAACCCACTCCATTTCCCAGAAGAGTTAATTGCCTCGGAAGTTAGTAAAACAAGTGTTTCTGTTGTCTAAAGGTATGCTGAGAATCTGACGCATTTCATACGTCAATTCCGACTTGTACCCAAAGAGAGAAAGTGCTATTAGATTCGAAACTCCAAATCTCCATGAATCTTCTTTTGAGTTACGTTTCTGTGTGTAGTACACTGCAAGCTCCATATGATGGACCCTCGAATTCACCTTTGGGAAATAGAGTGTTTTCGTCGTTGACTGAACGGGTGTTGGGACATGGTAACACTTGGTCGCTACAAGGCAGCTTTAATAGAGAAAGAATCATCAGGAAACATTCTTAAAAAGCCGATATTTTCAGTTATGTTAGCGTAGTTCACTAGTCAAGTGGGCGGTTAGAGACACTGCTTTTAGTAAGGCTGTTATAGTGTTAAGCATTAGCAGCACAACCGTTTCTCCACAAACTACACGATGATCTGTCGACATTTGTTGAGCTTTATACGTAGTGGGAAGGATAATTTAAGTTCGCTACATTTGGTCAGTTTCATTTCTAACAGTGATTTTAAAGTAGGCACCAGTCTTGTGGGTAGATTTAGTCTATTGTATTTAAGTGTTCAGCCTCGGGTTTTCACTCATTCCAAGTGGTATGAGTGTCTCCACAGATTGCTTTGGCGTGCTTACTGTTTTAGTAACATTTCCGATGAGTAAGTGAAGGATACCATCTCAGCGACTTGTTGTTATCTGAATTATCAAGCATTTGAAAGAATATAATTGATGAAACTCCCCAAACGACAAAGACGTTTTATGGCTTAACTCAATATCAATCGTTGTAAATGGCTTTCGTGATATAGTCGGAAATATTTCTCGCTTGTTTTAACGTGGACTGATTCATTACAAACAGTCTACCGTAGTTGCATGTTTTTGTTTAGAACCATTGTGACGATGAATATTCCCAGAAACTCGCTAGCTCTTTTCGATGGGAAGTAGTTTATTGTTAATCGTTAAGGTTTGGTAGTTCATCAAGCAAGAAAAGCAAGCCGTAATACACAAAGTTACTGAATGCTCATCGTATATTTTAACATTAGGAAGGTTAGATTTTATCGGTGTAGAATTTCCTCGTACTTATTAATGGAGGACTTTGTATCTTCTCTCTTATATTCCACCCTCAGAGAGGTCATATCGACGTATGAGTGCAAACAGGTCAGAAATCACTTTCGTGTTCACAGTCGGTGACATCATCGTTATGATGCAAGTCAAGGCATTTTGTCGTGCCACACTTTAACTTGAGGAATTCCAGGACGTCTGTCATCAACTTTTTCATTATATCCTGATTCTTAAACATTACAGTTCATCATTGGAATGCATTACGAACATTTCGATACTCCATCCACCCTATATTTCATTTGTGGACCTAACATTTGTGTTAATTTAATGATACTGAAGTGAATAGCTTTGATGTTTCGCTCCGCCAGCTGATTCTAGCTCCCTGGGAGAAATTATCAAAGTCAAAACTGAAATATTTATCTGCCAACTTTTTACTCAGAGTTCAATGTTTGGGGAACTTTTTGGCCTAATCGTGGTCAGAGTCTAATTAAACCAAATTTTATCGCCTGGATTTCATATATACCTCGAACCCAGAAAGGCTAGCTCGTCATCATCGTTTGATATTTCGTAGATTGCAGCAGTATGGCACTACTGTCAACAGTAGGAAATACTTGTCTAAATAGGATTACCAAATTTCCTTTTTTTAAAGCTCAGCTGGAAATAAAGTGATAGCTGCCACAGAAAATGCGAAACTAGTCACTGTGCGACATATTAGAAACCAACTTTACCAACAGAATAATAACCTAAATTATCTGCTTGCAGTTGATATCACAGCGAAAGACTGATGCCTCTTTCAAATGTTTTTTAAAGCAGAGCGGTGAGCGAGTGAAGTGCAAAACCCAATCAGACACACGGACAGCCACTATCAGTTCAGTAGACAAAGAAAGCCTTACAGACCTGCGCACGCAACCCGAATACTACCAGTGAACTACGGATGAACGTTCATTAGCAGACTTTTATCAACTGTGCCTAATTAGTGAGAATAGTATCAGATCTCAGACAGGGGTGCGTAAATCGGAAGGAAGTCACCAAATTAAAGTTAGATGATTAGAAAAACAAATAGTGACGTCCGACAAAAATGTAAGAATGAAAGGAAAACAAGTAGAATATGTCCATCTTGAGAGAATGGAAGTAGGGACAACTCTGCATCCCAACAGTGTAGGGATTTAATAGCCTTCTTTATACCATGTTTAAGTTTTTTTCTCTCGACTTCTAAGGAATTCACTAAATAGTGGGGAGAGGCATGGTGAAATCTACAGCACTGCCATGTTCGGTGAGTAAAACTATTGAAAGTTCTCAGTCAAGATTATTTTGAAAATCTATCTAAACCTGTTAAAAGTTAACGTCTTGGAGCTATTAAACCTATCGCGTTACTACTTATTAACTGTAGTATACAGGCGGTATGTAGCACAGACTCAAAATAGAAGGTGGACACATACATTAGGAGTTAACTTATTGCGGGAAGTGATTTTATCGTGAACATTAAAATACCAAGATATCTTGCCCATAAAGCAGCTATAGGGGTGAATTCATTAAGTTCTACTTGTGCTAACAAAGCATAATGCCTTCTGCAATTCATATTGGAGTCTTTAGGTTAACAATCTTCCCCCATAATGTCGTTACCAGTATAACACAGACACTCTGCCAACTAAGCTGGAAAGACACTTACATTTCAGTCTAACTAAAAGCCAAAACTCACACTTAAATTCATAAGGATATTTCAGAAATAACAACTAGATCACCGAATTAGGTAACACGCACAAAAAAACGTGACCTCTTCTTTCAGTATTCTGCAGACCGGTGGGTTCGTCAGCAAAGGTAGACAATATAATCTCTACAGATAACATAAATTGCATTTAGTGGGGGCAAAATATAATAGTGGGCAAATTGTATATCTCACTCGACTTCGGATCAGACAAAATAAACAAGCCATCAAAAGATAGAATCTATAATGCTTCACATCAGCACATGAAGTTAAATATGGATGCTCCTTTGACTGATGAAACATGGAAATTTCAGATGCCTTAACTACCAAAATTGATTTAAAATCCTTAAAAGGTCGACATTAAGCATAGTTATCACTGACACATACTGTCACGGACCATATTTTTCAAGCAGTGTTTCAAATGACCGCATGATTCGTGCACATTTTTCTCCTAATGACTATCAACACTACTGGTAGAAACGGCATTTATGAGGAAGCATTCATGATCCCATTCGAACATTATCACATTATAGTGGCTTTTCCAGTTTCTTAAAATATAAGAAATAATCTTACGAGTGAATATATAGGAAGAAGGACAAGTTTATTAGATCATAAAAGTTTTCACTACGAATAAAGGCAATTTCCATGGGATCGACGAGTATGCCGCTACATGGGATTGTTTTAATGCTCGATTTCTGAAGGACAACACAGGCGGAATTCTCAGATCAGGTGAAGTGTTGGCAATGTTAGGAATAGGATTTGATTAGTTTCCAATGGGTTTGTGCAAGTGTGAACGAAGAAGAGTGACTAACCTCTTTTGCTTCGAGCATCGGGTTAATGTGTGTGAATTCTGTTTGGTAGCGAACCACAATAAGGTATAAAAATTCTGATTTGTTCCGTATAATCGTAACAGTGCATCGTTAAATCCTACCTTAGGTGGATAAAAGACAGTGACTTTAATCCCTCATGCAGTATATGTCGTGAACCGTTTGAAACTGACCCTTCTAAAAAATGCGTACGTCTGGTGTGTCTAGGTTTGTAAAAGTGCAATAAATGTAGAGGTATTTTTAGATGTTTATCATTGGGACTGTTTGAATAACTATGTGTTAAGTCTCCCACCAACAACAACTCCTGCCGGCTTTTTGTGCCCGCTGTGTGATCAGCCAATCATACCTCAAGCGAATCACGGTGGTCCTGTTGCAGAAGCTCTCCGTACGTGTCTCAGTGAAGTTGATTGGGCTAAAGGAAGCTTGAATGAAATAAGAAAATACTTTACCATAGAACCAAATCCAAGAGTCAACTCAACACCCAGTATGTATACGCCAACCCAGAGTAAGTGTTTATATTTTGGTGCTAATTCGCGTCATTTTTTTGAACACCCGACCATTACTCATAGTACCATAGTTCACCAAACTATTTTTTTGGGCTCATCAACTACTCAGTGTTGAGTGATAGTTGCGACCTAGTAGTTGTTGAATTACAAATTACTGCTGCCTACCGCTGTTAATTTTATCTTGGGTAGTTGTGTGGCGTTAGTTGTTTTGTTATATTTTGTCCAGATTAACAAAATATTGTGTAATTGAAAAAGTTCTTTCTGAACTAGTTTTTCAACGTCCATTTTTAACCCTACAATATTCATTTCTTAAGAAACCAGCTAGTATACTGCAGAATGTCCTCTATTTTAATTCACAGGGCCTTAAATCAATAAACCCTATTGACCCTGTCTTGTTGACTAAACTTTAAGGGTTCTGACGTACGCGTTAATAATATTTAGAGGCAACTTAAAAACCGTTGCTAATATTTCAGTCTTGACATGTTCGTGCATAATATGAGTCCTCAACATTTTGTGTCCTCACCACACTAGTGTATAGTGCGTTTTGCCCGACTACTGTATATTCTACTGGTGTGTTGATATAAAGCACAAGAGAATAGCTTCAGTAACCGTTGAAATTCCACCTCGTAAAGTAAGCCTAAAACTTGCGAATAATTTATTTTCATGTTTGCGTACTTTAAATACACGTAGCCAGTCATATTACCTTTATAATTATCGTAAAGCTACGTTACTTATCCATTTATAGCAGCCGTAGTTAATGTCATTCAGGCAAATTGTCTACTAGGTCTACTAGATGTATTCTTGTAATAAAATACTAACTAGCCATATTCTCATTTTGACTAATTAAATTTATTTTACATTTGAAGAATTAGTTCAGCTTTATCTTCAATAGGTACCCAACAAATTGTATTTGTACAGTTAATATTGCGAAACTCCGATCACCTTCTCGCTCGTTTCATGTCAGTTAGAGATAGTAAATAGTAAGACATCTTTTGTTTCCTTTATTGGCTGTTAAAAATTCCGGATTTCTGTAGAGTCGGACGGACCATAGATTACTTTGAAAATTTAACTCCTTGTCTCCCACCTTTAGGGAATATAGAGACTTAGATTAGGATAATACCGCATTGCAATAATTTTCGAAATATTTAATATATCTACTATTACCCTCACTGGTTAGTCTATTGCTAAGCTCATACATAGAGATGCTTACATTTTCAGACTTCAAAATAGTTGAGTTAGTGGTAGTAGTTGGAAATATCAGAATTTTATACTCTTTATTAGTTGTGCTGGCGCGTGAAAGTAAGTTTCTGGATTAGATGTCTTTCTAAATATCTCTGGAGAATCTTTTTAGATTAGGACATGCGTTAAATGTAGATGTTCTTTTCTGTGAATGCAGAGGGTCTGTCAAGTTTACCATCAAAGGGTAACTTTGCTACACCGTACTTCGTCAAAATGAGTATTTATTGTTCATGCTGTTAATATTGAAACCGAATTATGCAACTCATGACACAGTTATTATTTAGAAGAGTTATACGGTTAATACATACACCTCTAATAGTTAAAAAGATATTTTCCCAGTGTGATCAAGAATGCTCCGACCCCTGGTGGAGGCTCACCATTGCACCTTGGTGTGTTGAAACTCTCGACGGACCCTAATCGGGTGCGCTCAGGCGTGTAGTGTCTGTCAATGAGGAGGCCTCACGGTCTTCCCTTTTAAAAAATGTGCGCCGGTGGCACGACGGTTAGGACTGTTGCCGAGCATGCACATGATCCGGAGTTCGACCCCCTGCCGACACACACCCGATATCGGCCTGTAAAATCGGGCTACCGATATCACATCCTGAAAATTCCCTACTTGTACCAAAAATACGGTGTGGAATCAAGCTATAATAAAAATTTACTTGTGTCTTTTCACTTAGCTTCGTGTGGTCTAACATAACTTGTGGTAGTGTTATATGCACGAAGCCTTGTATTTCTGTAGTGAGTGTAGAGATTCCTAGCAATTTAGACGCCTAAATAATTACTTGTTTAAACTAATTCAGGCATATTTAAATTCGGTATTAATGTGTATTGTTATTCTATAAAATAAATCTGCTTTCATTTATGAAATTTGACTAAAGGTACAACGGATGTTAAACTCTTTGATCCACGTTTGGATTTGGCCGCTAAACAATTTCTTAAAGGACGTGATGTGACAGATATTTTGGAGACCCCGCAAAAGTCGTCCGGAATGCAGATGGATACTATTTCAAATGGCACCAATATGTACAGTAATGATTCTAAAATAAACTACCAACGCAGAGACCAGTTTTTATCTTCAAATCCGTTCACCTCCTCAGAAAATGATGATAATGCTAAATATAAGCATCACCTATCCGTAGCTTGTTTCAAGCGCTTCCTAAGGTAAAAGTAAAAATCCAGTTTTTCTATTTTATTTTTATTATCACTGCTTAGTTGTAGGTTAACAACAATGTTATAGTTGTATGTGTTCCAGTTAGTGAGTTGATGTTTGGACGATAACCGAAGTGGGTGTATAATATACATAAACAGCAGCACATATAACTCAGTGACATTCTTGTTTACGTGTGAGAAAAGTAAAATTACAGTCATTAAGAGCTTATACTTTTTTCAGGGATAGTCATAGAACACTTAATTAACAAGTGCCACAACCAATTTTTTTATTTAGTTGATATTTTTGTATGGTGGTAGCACATTAGTGTTATTAGTGGCAGAAAGTTTGTTGACTCCTTTCATGTTTTGTATTCGGAAAACAGCAATTCGACTGCTCAGCGTTGTAGCCACCTGATGTGAAAAGTTCCATTCTTTTCGGTGGTCGTCCCATTTACCGTAGGCTTTTTAAAACTCGTTTGTCAACTGAGACGAAATAGTTAACTGGTATTATTCACCACTAAAGCCTTTTACACTTTCTTCACTCGCCTGTCACAGTTGTGTTGTGGTCGTTGTGAAGAACTAGTCAGCTTTTGTTTGAGTAACCGTCACGCATGTTCAAAGACTGTCGTCTCATTGCATCAATCAACTGGAATAAAACTATGGCGCTGCATCTCTTGGTGCCCATAATGCACCAAGTTAGTCTTTTTAATAGTAATTAATTTAACAATGTGTTAAACAGATGCAATCTAAACGACAAATGCTACTTTAATATCATGCCAGAAATAGTGTTTCAGTTGCGCAAGATACCTTGCAATCACTCGTGATCACACTAGATCTTGCGGTGAACTGTCTCATAGTATTCGTTATGAATGTTCCACTCATATTTATTTGATTTTATATATATATATATATATATATATATATATATATATATGCTCTCCCCATGACCTTTAAGCGTTTTGACAAACAATGCCCTCTAAATTACGTCCGTGTTTGGTGGAACCATACTAAAATACTGAATAAATCAATAAATTCATCAATTTCTGTCAAAACTGGGGTATGTGTGTTGTTCCATGTGACCATAATAGCTGGTCATAAAGAACTTTAGGTAGAACAACTTAGATGATCATGAGATTTTATTGATTTCTTCGCTTTATCTTTTCTCTTGTTTCGTTGTATTGTAGTATTTTCATTAGGATTGATTTTATTAGTTAGTCTTCCTTTTCATCATATTTTATTTGTTGTGGGCTGTACGTGCTTCTGTGACCACATGCTGTTAATTCTGGATTCTAATTTACTAGTCTCTCTATCCGAGTGGATGGCAAACCGTCATTTCTTTCAAAAAAGTTCTCAACTTTCATTTACTATTTAGTAACTGTTTCGTTTCTCGTTAGTTTAACAAACGTAGCAGCATGTAGTTGGTTTAAATTCATTCACTTATTGGATTAGTTCGTTTTGGTAATGGGTGTAAACTACTTTTACTCTGTCGGTGTTATCCCTTTGTCATTCTGTCTTTGCTGTTGGCCGTCAAACAGTCTATCATCATATCTTAGTCATCTGCTGATTATGCGCAAACTGATGGTGGGCTTATATACTGGGTTGGTATCACTACACTGTTTGGAGTAATTTAAGGTGTTATATAAATTCATTACATGCACATAGCTTTTGTGTTTCATCCACTCATCTTCTTGATGATTGATTTTATTATCGTTGTCGTCTCTTAAAAGATCTCAGTACCTTCTTATGTACACACTCACCCATCCTACTGTCAAGTATGATCAGTGCAATTAATAGTGTTCTCTGAGCTGGTTGGTTTATAGTTGCGGAGCTTTCGTCGTCCTTCTGGACAAAATCTTCAGCGCAATATTTAGCATAAAGTGAAACGATTTAAATTTCTTCATGAGTGATATAATTGCGTCTCCCGGTAACCATCTTTGCATATGTAAACCATATGACCAGAAAGTTTAAAATCCAAGTCAATAGAAAATGGTCAGTATATATGTAAATATGGTTACGAGGAGACGCAATTATATCACTCATGAAGAAATTTAAATCATTTCACTTTATGCTAAATATTGCGCTGAAGATGTTGTTCAGAAGGACGACGAAAGCTCCGCAACTGTAAACCAACTAGCTCAGAGAACACTAATAATTGCAAATCATCCACTTGAGCTACAAATCTTCTCTATTATTTCAAGTGCGATCAGTTTTTACAGCAAACTGGCATTTATTTGTATTTCACAGATTGAATGCCAATTTAAAGACCCCAAAACATTTTTGTGTAACCTGTCTTCACACTTATTGACTGTATGTTCCCAATGCTTTGGATTGTAATCGCTGTCAAAATTTCCGTGATATTTCAGTTTTTCTTCTGTGCTTATATGCTATTCTACTTAAATTTATTAATCTTCCTACTCCAGTTTAATTCCCTGATATATTATTGCGAATACGGCATTTTAAGGCTTCAGTCTACAATGTTTCGTCTGATTGTCTAGTTGGTATTTGTTGTGGAACATGTTTCTAGTACACTGACGTTAAGGTCGATTGAACAAATACATGTTTTAAGAAAGAATTCATAGTAGATTTTTTTAGCTGCCCAGTAAACAGCATGTTGTAATGTCAGCGAAGTCATGGTTTTCTGTTATTGAAATTTCACCTGTAAAATTTTTCATGAAATTGTGCAATATTTTGTCAAGATAGCATATTGTTGACCTGTTCTGACTGCAGTACATGTTGGTTGCAAGAGTTTATGTATCATCTGAACACTAAATCGAAATGTTGCCTACTATGAAAAGAAAGGAATCATTGATGGAGAGTGGTGTTTTCCAGAGAAATGGTTTATTTTCCGTAAAAGATGTTCTTCTCTTTGACGTAGATGCATTTCGCGAAGACTTTGTTTGTTACAGGATTTCATCATGAGCTGATGTTAGTTAGAGAACCGTCGGAAAACTTGGGAGTACTGAACAGCTATTTCGTCCTGGTTTGGGACTCTTCAGCAGTACACACCAACCACAGAGGTTCAAACCCAGGACCCTCTGGTTACAAGGTGAGCTCATAGACCATTAAGCCACTGGGACCCGATCCAATGGCCCATGAATCCTGACTTCTGACAATCCGCAACATAGCGCGACCCCTAGCCAATGTCTTCGGCGAGTATTTGTCCTCACACCCGACCTGCTTCACCCTACTGGTCACGAATTCTCACTAGAACCCCAGTAACTACTACCTACCTGAATAGGGCAAGTTGCTAGTGAGCATCTCATTGATATTCAAGTGTTGGTTTGTAGGGATTTGATTGGTTATAGGATTTCATCATGAGCTGACATTAGTTAGAGAACCATTGGAAAACCTTCAGGGAGTACTGGACAGTTGTTTCGTCCTAGTTTGGGACGGTATTCTTTGTTACTTTGGTTACCAAGAATTTTCGACTATTCAAAAGAAGTGCTGGTGACATCCAGTCTTCTTTTGTGACTGTTATTAAACAGAAGCTTCATACAATTAGAAGCCTGTTTTTTTCTACCGACAAAGTTCGGATGGCAAATTAATGACGACAATAATACTAATAATGTGTGATGCATATATTTCCATCAATTACGTTTAATATCCTTTTATATTTTTGTTTTCTATCTTTATAGAGGAAATTCATCCAAATTACTTCGTGTATCATCTATTCGCCGACATCGTCTTATTGTTCTAATTGTTGCCTGCATTATTTTAATATTTCTACTTGGATTTTATGGCTCACAACCAAATGATGTCAGTGGTGATCCGTTGTTAGATCCTCATATGAATCCTAATTTACACTTTAAACTTGAACCTATTGATTCAATGAAAGTTATGCTGGACAATAATCATAATAATGGTGGGGATAGACGTATAATCGGTGGTTTAAATGAAGCCTAATTGCTGTGTTGTGTCAACTGCGGGGAGCGGGGGTTGTAACAACAAATAATTTCTTTTTTTTCTTTTTGATTATACATGATTGATTTTGTTTTCCTGACTTCAAAGTCTTTTTTTCTTATTTTTAACAGATCATATAGGTACTTTGTTATTTATTTATTTGTTTATTATTATTTTTTTCATCTTGTTATTGTAGCTTCCTGTTTTTATTCCCTGAATAATATGCTCTTGAGTTTACAAAAGACAAAATGTATTCTAGATGAGCTTTACAATTATAGGTAGTGTGGAAAGTGTCTAAAGGCTCGTGTAAACAGCATGTAATGCTGTGTATATGCGTGTGTATTCTAGCCTCATATTTTTGTGGTGTTTATATTCAGTGGTTCGTTATGTTGGTTTACTTGTCAGTCTTTTTTAAAATCGTGTATCATTCTCCGAATCTCTCGACATTGATGACTAATATTGATATTTTGTTGTGTATGTTAGGATATGTGCGTGGGGATCTGTAACTAAAAGACATGCTAAATAACCATATATTTTCGTTCGTATTTCTATAATCTACACCTTTTGTTCAGAAACAGTCGTGTAAAAGAAATAATAATAATAATGATTCAATGGGGTTGGAGTTTTGTTTATTTATTCAAAATATCAGCAAACAATGTTTCCTACACGTGATACTTTTATTTGTTATATTTAATGTTTTGCGTTGAAGGTCATTAATTTGTGTTAAATGTGATCTGGTTTCAGTGAATTACAAATGAACAAACAAAAAGAGTGAGAAGACGAAAACAACAAATAGTACTAAAATGTTCAAGTGTTGGTTTCCAGCAATTTGATTGGGTATAGGTTTGATCACATCACTTAGAAAACCAGAGAGTGCTGTGAGATAGTTGTTTCGTCCTAGTTAGAGACTCTCCAGAGGCTGTGTTGTATATCGTGAATTTCGAGAAGTTAGAATTCATGGGTCATCGGGTCCAGCTCCCAGTGGCTGGATGGTCAACGAGCTCACCTTATGACCGGAAGGTTTGACGTTCGAAGTCCGGTGGGTGCATACCGTCGATGAGCAGCCGAACTAGGGGGAAACAGCCTTCTGGAACCAGTCATCTCAACGAAGGTTTATTTTTCAAGAGTGTGTTTTCTGTTTCTTACTCCATTCAATAACATACTCCTAAGAGTTCTTGGGCAAAATTTCAAGTATGTTAGTCTATGTTTCACCCCTCTAAGATGACACCGCATAGCTGGTTTACACTGTCTTTTAGTTTAAGAGTAGGCGGTGAATCAATTGAATATGCAAACTCCTTGACTTGAGAAATTCCATCACCACCACCACCACATGTTTATGGTACAAGTGCATTCTGCAGAATTTTGCTTTGTCTTGTTCTGCATCTGAGGACAGCCGATCACTTCAGCTTCTGACTTAATGTGGGAACAATATGTTCATCAATGTTGAAAAAAGGAGGCGAAGAGTTGTAGGTAAAGTTAACCAATGGTGTGTTGAAACCCGTGTGAAAACAGTTTCCGGGATACGCTACACATAGTGAGTCACCGGCTTTCGCGGTCAAAAACTTAAGCTGCAATAGGAGTAGTAGATTATTGATCGGCTTAAGGGACATGTACAATATCATGAATCCTCTTGCTTTCATGGTCTCTATTTATGGTATGACTCAGGTCATATATTGTGAATAGAATATTTTAGGTTTCGTAAGAAGAGTTTGGGGAATATTCATCTCGGAAGTGACGAACTGTATTTGTAAGATGATTACATTGAAGAGAAGTATGGCCTCTGAAAGTGAGTGGTACGGACAGATTAACCACTTTTAACCGTAAGTGTCCGCGTTCAATTTCTCGCATTGAGTGATTCAGTGTATATGTCGTAATGCACTTGGGCTATATTTTGCACGTACCCAGTTACGGCCTTCGGTGATGAGCAACCTCAGCTGGAGAATAGCATGAGGTTGGAGAGGAGTTATGCGTGGTCAAACTAATCCGTAAGTTATTCCACTATTTTATACATATCCAAACCAAGTTGAATTTTAACAGTTTGAAAACATTTGGGCATTGAGTATATGATATTCATTATAATAAAGGTTTTCCTGTATTTCCCAATGAATGAAAAACTAAACGATATTGTTTCTACTGACGTTTTGCTATTTAATGCTGCTAATAGCTTCATCAAAGTATTATTAAACCCGAATTTACAAAATCTCAGCTTATATATAACAACTTAATGATCGTCTATCAGCATGGGGTCATTTTTCATTGTCAAATTGGCCAATTGGTGAAGCTAACAAAACCAGGTTTAGATTGTTGGATTCGATAAGTGTATAACATTATAAAACCAGCGTGTGTTTACATAATGAAATTGCTTATCACATTCGTGTTGATTTTTTCCCTTCATGGGGGAGGGTGGTGTTGTAATCAGGTTAAATTCTGTTTAAGTCCATCATTCTTATTCAGACAATTTGGATTCTACTTGATATGAAGTGATTTCTTTGGGAAGTTGTAGATTGCTTCATTGAGTTATTTGAGATACTTATAATCTATGTTTGGAGTCCATATTTCTGTACGCTAAAACATTGCATTTTAATCTTAGTGGAATACAAACTAGTTTAATACTTGAAACTTCTTTGTACTTTTGATAAGTTATCAGTCTACCCTGTTTCTGTTGCTCAATTAAGGCCTTGGTTTTTTTTAACAAATTCACCTTTCAGTTATTTATTCATAAAAATCCCAGAGTATTCGAAATATTTTCATTCTAAGTGAAAGAGTGGATAACTTTACTAGGAGTAGTATAGTTTCCTTCAGCTTACATAGTTTATTATTGAATTGAATTTTCGATTTTCCCGTCGATTGATTGGACCGAAGTGCTCTCGTGGCCCAAGTGGTCTAGTGGATAACGCCTTGGCGTTCGAAACTATGGGCACTGGGTTCGAGCCTCGGTGGGAACATCATCACTCACTGAGAAATGCAGGTGCATCCAGCTGACGAGTCCCAAATAGGACGAAATGCGCATCCTGGATTCCACTGCTAGTCACCATCCACCAGTTGTATACTTACATAGTTTATGTTGATTAAAATGTCAGTAGTTGATGAACCGGTAGTGATATTTATTGTTATGATTACTGAAGTAAGGGAAAAATACCACAGCTTTTAAGTTATTTAGAATATTACTGCTTAATCTCTAATATTCAAATAATATTCAGGTTTTAGATGGTTAGGGGCGACCGGCCACGAGAAGCCTTCGACCTAGGTTTTGTGCTAAATGGCACTCGTCAGCTCAGGGGTAACGTCTCTGACTGCAGCACCGGGTGACGCGGGTTCGAACCTCAGAAGGGACCTGCGCTCCTTCAGGGTTACAGATACACCTTGATGACTGGTGAGTGCCAACTACCACGAAACCTAGGTCCAAGGCTCCCTGTGACTGATTGCCTCCTACCATCTAATACCAACAATTCACCACGTGGTGAGCCACCTAGAATGCTACCCACATTGCAAACTTGACTGATAGAATTCAGTCTTCACCGAAGAAAGGACTAGACACATCGCACTAGTTACTAGTGTCCAATCAAAATATTCAGGTTTCAATTATTATGGTCTTTATTTCTCTGCAATATGGTTTATTCGCATGTATTTGTTTACACAATGGCTTATCATCTAGATTTTTTCGTTTTCATGTCGACTTCTTCGGATTAGAGAGAGAGAGAGAGACGTAGAATATTAAGTGATTATTGTAAATATATAGTGTTCTCCTTATTTACTGAAGGGTTTCTTTTTAGACGGAGATATTTCAAGTAGTGTTAATCGCCTTATAAATTTTGTTCGTTGGTGATTTAATGGTAGAATATTCACCAACCATGCAGGTGGTCTGGAGTTCGATACCCGGCCGATGCACTCCTTAACCTAGTTAGGCGGTAGTTGTTTTATTATTCATTTACGTTCCCAGTGGAACATAGGGCTCCAACCTTGAATCTTGAAATTTCGGTAGCAGTGGTGTTCATTTTTTACGGAATGGGGTTGCTAGCCTCATGCCCAACCTTCCCTCTTTACCAGTTTTTTTATTGGTTCAGCAAGGTAAAGGAGTGCGTCGGTCGGGGATCGAACCCCGGACCACATACGTGTTTGGCGAGCATTCGACCGCTATGCCAACGACGCATTTAGGTGGCAGTATGTCATGTAAATGGCGGGGGGGGGGTTGACCGCCAGTCTAACAACATCCCTGTAAGAAAAACACCAATGCTATTGAAACTTCAAAGTTCAAGCTTGCATCCCCTATGTTCCACTCGAAACATATAAAAGAGAAAGAAAAAGTCAATTACTCGATAGATTGTTTTCTCAAATAGCGCTGTGAGCATTCGCCTGCATTGTTATGCAGTCAACATTCAATGTACCACAATATATATATATATATATATATATGCATACATCCTGCATAGACTTTATATTTAATAATTTTACAAGAATTACTTAGAGTTCTAGTATATTAGTGACTATAAGAGTATTTTTATATTAAGTGAATCGAAAACCTGGAAAGATTGACACACCCAAGTACTTACATGGTATGTAAAAACAACATTAACCTAACTCATCACTCTTCCAAGTAGTCACATATATATTATAGTTGGTACTGCAGCCAACACTAAAATTTCATGTAATATTGTACTGCCAGAAGACCAGGGCCAGGCAACAGATCGTTTGTTGAGAAAATTAAGAGGTATTTATAGATTTTTATGTACATTATTGTTAGCAGAGAAGCAGCCTCTTCTGATTGTTTGTTTTCTTGCTGAAGTTTATTCTGTTATCTCTGTGGCCGTTTCCCAGAAAATCAAGCCATATATCTGCGAATCATATTCCCCCACGTTAACTCCTCTGTGATTGGCTGGTGATTTCCTCAAGGTTAAGCTTTATTATTGTTTTCTTCAGGACGCTGATTCGGGACGTGAACATTGACATAAATTATTGTCTACAATCTTGGCTTGCAGCCAGCTCTCACCACAATATTACAAAGTTGACACACACCAGTGAACTCTCTTGTTTACTGTTGAATAAGAGTCAAGCTCTACTCTTTATCAATTCCACTCACTACCTCCTTGGAGAAAAAGCAGCATGTAACTGATTCTGCAAACTCATTCATTTGTCATTCTTTACTCATTTTGAGTAGCTTTGAACCTCAAGGAATTTTCTTTTTAAATTGAAGTAGAGAGGATACCAAGAAACTTTAACTGTTGCAATCATTCTAGTTATCTATGATGTGGAGTTTTTATTCAGCGACTTACAGGGCAGACAGGTTTTCCTCGAACATGTATATTACAGAGCTAACAGGGCATTTATGATCATTGTATTATTATTATTATTATTATTATATCCTTTAATTCCTAGAGGAACATAGGGTTTCAGCTGCGCGTCTCCATTGCCTTCGGTTTTCTGCCAACTTTTTCATCCCGCTCTAAGTCTGCCCATATGCTTTCATCTCCTCTTCACATGACCTCATCCAAGTCACCCTTGCGCTGACGACCAACTCGCCGCTTTCCTTTCAGGTTCCACTCGAGCAATGGCTTGTCTAGTGATGTCACTTGGTGTTATAGGTTTGATTAATAGGAATTCAGAAAGCATAAAATACCGACACTCGTCGACATAGCATATCTCAACTCAGAATTAGTCATAGTAAGGCAAATTCATTCAAGCCCTACATACACACACGCACATTCATCATGGAATGATAAACTATGCAACACCGTAAAATTCTTAACGCTAAAAAAAACACTATAAGCTTATCTGTTGGTTGATTACAGTCAATTAACTCAAAATTCAAATTCAACACAAATCACATAAATTAACTCAGTGATCTAAGTCGGTACTGCATATTGTAAACT